AGTCGGAGGCTTAGGGGCTCTGGCAACCCGGTCGGTCCCAGCCTTGCGCTCTCCGATCCACCAAACCTCAGCAACCTGGAGGAGTTCCCTCCCGTAGGCTCGGTTGCCCCGGGCCCTGCAGGGTGAGAACCAGCCCTCGTCCCGGGGATGGGTGGCACGAAGGCTCTGCTAGGGGAGTCAGCAAATCAGGGCTGGGTGCTCCACAGCGGAGCATGGGAATGGCTAGAAGGTTAGGGCTCAGATAGCTAAAATGGTGAGAAATCTTTTGATTTTTTGCAAGGGGCCCAGCTGTTGTGGTGGTGGAGGGGGAGATGTTTGAAGATAGGAATTTCAGAAAAAACCTGTGACTACTCTCAGCAGGACGAAGCCTTCGCGTAGGATCAACCCAACTCCGGTGAGCGAAGAAACTCCAAGCCCAAGACCTGCTTCACCTCACCCCCAATCAGCTGTGTCCCCAGTTCCCAACCCTCAGCCCTGGACACTAGCCCTTGGGGCCTTGGCCTTCCCCCAGGGTGCAGAAGTCTGCAAGAGGAGCGGGAGATGCTCAGGAAGGAGCGGTATGGCCTTGCCGCTCCCTGGGATGGCGGCTTCCTCACTGTGGGGAATCTGCAGGGCTTTTCCCTGAAACTGATTTCCCCCTTGGGGACTCTGGGTTTGTTTTCTGGGCTGTCCATATCTTCTCTGGGACCTGAGTTTCGCTGTGGCGGGGAAGTCAGTATGACTGCTCATGACATCTCTCTGTCCCCTTAGCTCTAAGCAGCTGCAGCTGTCACCTACCCCAGCCTGTCCCGCCCCAGAGTTGGGATCTCCCCTTCCCAGCCGATCAGGAGGCCTCACAGCTGAACCTGCTGACCCCTCGAAGGTGTCCTCCCGCCAGCGCTTAGAGCTGGTAGCCCTGGTCTACTCCTCTTGCATTGCTGGTGAGTGAAAGTGCAGGGAGCTGGGGTGAAGGTAAATAGGCAATGCAATTCCTGACGGTTCAACTCAAGAATCTTTGACTTTGTGCTGGTGGGAAGGTGATATATGTTTGGTGGAAACTGTACTTTTTATCTTCAATTTCATTTGGAATTTTTTTTTCTTTTTTTTGGAGAGGTTTTTGCTATAGGGCGTGTGTGCTCGACAGAGAGACAGAAAGCGAGAAATCACCCCCCAGGGAGGTGGCCACGCCGCAATCCCTTCTCCTCCATTTTCCTCTTGGGATTCTGGGGACGCATGCACACACGCCCGGTGTGAGTTTAAGCCACCGGGTCTGGGACTCGAACTGCGGTCGACTACGTGTGAGTCCAGCGACATAGCCATTACGCTAACTGCTGGTCCCTCATTTGGAATTTTTAATAACTTTATTAGACTTTGTCCAAGTGTAGGGTTATGTAAATGTTCTGGGCATGTTTAAGGTAAGCCAGGCTAAGGTAGGATGTTCAGTCTGTTAGATGCATTAAATTCTTCTTCAACTTGCTTTATCTTCAACTTGTGATGGGGTTATCAGGACATAACCTCATCAGAAGTGAGCTGCAGGGTAAGGGAATTGATGAGATGTAGAACTGAACTTTGACTCCACAGGTGCCTAATCCTGTGGGATTTCTTTTTATATCCAGAGAACCTGGTACCAAACCTTTTCTTGGAGCTTTTCTTCGTCCTGCAGCTCCTTACTGCCAGGAGAATGGTAGCTGCCAAGGACAGTGACCTTGAATCGAGTCCAGGTGCTCTAGGTCAGTGAGCAAGCCTCCTTTGAAGAAATGGGGTCTGGTGCTGGGATAGTTCTTAATGGCCAGCTTGGTACTATCCCTTTAGATTCCCTGGAAAGCCCCCTGTTCCAGAGCATCCATGATTGTGTCTTCTTTGCAGTGCAGGTTTTGGAGCACCAGTTTAAGTGAGTTTTCCTGGCCGGGGCATTTGGGGTTTATTGTCTGCTTGGTTCTGTGGCCACTCGGATGCATGCTTGGGCTTAGCATGGGTGGAATAGCCTTTAATCTGTGACTTTAATTCTGTGTCATGCTATGAAGTTAGCCCCCAAGAGAGCTGAATGAACACTTGTGGTCCTGGTAACTCGTCTTCGGGTTTATGGCTGCTGTTCCTGTCCTGATATCTTGCTCCCTGCTCCATTCAGGACTCATTTCCTCCCCCATTGCCTCCATCATCTCTGATCATTGGCCATGACTTTGTCGAATGTATCTGGGCTTATGTACCTGCTCCATGTCCAGATATGCTCTGTGTGGTATGCAGGTGCCTGCTTCCTATTTGCAGGCTGTGTCCCAGACTCAATCATATGTGCTTTTGTCCCTGCAGTGTTCTTTCCCACTTGGACAGAGGGACCTTGAAGCTCCTGGCCGAGAATGAGCGGCTACTATGCTTCTCGCCAGCTCTGCAAGGCCGCCTTCGTGCTGCCTACGAGGGCAGTGTTGCCAAGGTACCAACCCCAGCTGGGGTGCTTACTAACCTGGACGTGAGGCTCCCTAGTTTTCATAAATTCAGGCAACCCTGCTCATGACACGTAAGTGTCATGGGGGCTAGCTCTGGGCAAGAATGAGGTGGTAAAATTTTTGAGCATGATCCCTGCAGTCTAGTTCCTCATGTCCCTGCCATATTTTAGGTCTCACTGGCAATACCATCGTCTGCTCAGGCTGTCTCCTTTCAGCCAGAAACTGACAATCGTGCCAACTTCTCCAGTGACCGAGCCTTTCATACTTTTAAAAAACAGAGGTAATAAGAAAAGAAAACTTTGGGGAGGGCATGAGGTGATATTTTTCTTTAGAATTCATAGATACTCGGAGTTTGGCACTATCGGGTTGTAGTTTAGTACCTCCAGGCCTTTCCCGTCAGCCTCCCGTAAGGACCATTTGGCTTCATTCTGTTTCATACTCATGGACTTGAACTCTGTACTTAGCTAGCCATCTCTCAGGTGTGTGGCTTTAGTCTGTGAGTTCTCAGACAAGACTATGCTGGGATCAGCATTCTCTGCCACAGAAGCACAGGAAGCTTGTGTGCTGCTGTTGGGTCTGTAGTGTTTCCATCACGTAGAGTTTGAAGGGAGGGGGTTGTGGGTTGTCCTGTCCTCTGTCCTTCTAAGGAAGGGAAGGAGCTGTTGGGAATGAGTCAGAGGCAGCTGTGCCTCAACTGATCAGGCATTCTGGTATTTTTGTCAGGGATGTGTTTTACGAGGTGCTTCGAGAGTGGGAAGATCACCATGAGGAGCCTGGCTGGGATTTTGAGAAGGGCTTGGGCAGCAGGATCAGGTGGGTGCCCATCCACAGGTTGCCTTGGGTGTCTTGTTCCAGGCATGAGCAGCTGAATGATGCTTGGGGTGCTGATAGAAGGGAGGCTTTTCCCCAACTCCTTCCAGCCCAAAGTTGTTTTCTGTCCTTAATCTTTCTAGTCACTGACAACTCTGCCTCTACGCTAAAGGGATTTATCTGTCCAGCCCCTTCTAGTGTGTCATATTTGTTCTATAATGGCAAGTGCTTGGGAAAATGTCAAACTTCTAATCTGGTTTGCTTCAATTTGGCCCAAAGCACTGGTTAGATCCCCTTCTAATCTCCATTTTCTCCATCATCTAGTTTGGGCAAGTCTGATAACTGCAGTTAGATGACAGGGCTACAGAATCACCACCCTTGATCATCTTCCCTCCACATTGGTCACAAAGCTCACTGGTACTGTGTGGGCTGAGATCTGAGGGTAGCATCATTTCTCGTTTGGTTTGGTGTAGCTCTAGTCTCAAGGGGTCTTGGTGCTGAGGGGAATGTCCCTTACTTTTTCATGTGTACCTGTACAGGCCAGTTCTGGCTCGGGTCTGCTCAGATCCCTGGGAAAGGGTGGAAAAGCTCAAGGATGGATTTGTTCCCTCAGATTCTCCTGTCTCTTACCTCTTTCCCATCTACTGTGTTCTGGCCTCTCATTCCTCAGAGCCATGATGGGGCAACTCTCTGCAGCCCACAGCCATAGCCACTTTGTTCGCCTTTTCCAAAAGCAACTTCTCCAGGTGAGAGCTCTAACAGATTAATCAACAATGAACAGCAGGTATTCTGGGCAGCCATGTAGTGGTTGGCACTTTGGGACAGGGTGGACAGCTGGACAGGCTGTGGGTTTGAGTTGGACTGGAAGTGATGGAAACTCATGTGGCCAGAGAAAAGCTGGAGAGCTTTCTGATCCACAGTGCACCTCGGGCCCTCACCAGCCTGCTGCCATCTTATACTTGACTATGCTGTGGTAGACAGAGAGAAGCTTAGTAGAGAGGCCTGGTTCCAAATCCTAGGTCTAGTTTCTTCAACTGTAAAACAAGAATATGAACCCTACCTCAAGAAGAAATATCTAAAGCACTTGATACAGACTCAGCCTTCTGTAAATGTCTGTTCCTCTCATTTTAGTCAGTCTGTCACTCCCGTTTACTGGTTTTTGATTTCTCCTCCCTGCCCCAGATGTGTCAGAGCCATGGTGGTGCTGGGGGCACTGTCCTAGGGGAAGCTGCAGATGTGTTGAGTATGCTGGGAGCTGATAAGCTGGGACGGTTGCGGCGTCTTCAGGAACGGCTTGTGGCCCCGCAGAGCAGTGGGGGTCCCTGTCCACCTCCCACCTTCCCGGGCTGTGAAGGCTTCTTCAGGGATTTCATCCTGAGTGCCAGCAGGTAAAGGTCACATCTCACTCTCTCACCCAGTAGGTGGCTCACTGCTAGACCTTGGCCTCCCCGTCTGCCCTTCAGATCCTTTCTGTCTGAGTGCCTCTTGAGCTAGCTCGTCCTTTAGCTCCTCCAGTGTTGCTGCTTTCTCTTTTTTCGGCCTCCATCCCTTTCCCAGCTTCCAGTTTAATCAGCATCTCATGGATAGTCTGAGCTTGAAGATCCGGGAGCTCAATGGCCTTGCCCTGCCTCAGCATGAGCCTAGTGATGAAGACGGGGAGTCAGACGTGGACTGGCAGGTCAGAAACTAGAACAAGGGGAATAACAGGGTCTGACTCAGGAGCCAAAGACTGTATTCAAGAAAAACGTGATAACAGATCAGGAGTTGTTCAAAAAGCTTTATGCTTAGGTCCCTTTACTTCCCTTGATTCCATGCAGAGTGAACGGAGGCAGTTTGCAGTGGTGCTGCTTAGCCTGAGGCTTCTGGCTAAATTCCTGGGCTTTGTGGCTTTCCTGCCATACCGAGGGCCAGAACCACCTCCAAGCCGTGAGCTGCAGGACTCTGTTCTGGCCTTGAGGAACCAGGTGAGTGAGTGGGAGATAGAGTTGGAGGAAGGGAGTTGAGGAGCAGCAGGCTCCAAAGCTGGTTGGTTTTCTTGGCTATTCTGGAATCCAGGCAAGTTAGAGGGCATTACCAGCCAGCCCAGGAACCCACTGACTCTGAGCTCTGGCTCTCCAGGTCCCTCCTGTCCTAGATGTGCGGACTCTGCTGCAGCAGGGGCTGCAGGCCCGCCGAGCCGTGCTTACTGTGCCCTGGCTGGTGGAGTTCCTTTCCCTTGCCGACCACGTCGTTCCCTTGCTAGATTATTACCGGAGCATCTTTACTCTCCTGCTGCACTTACATCGGTGAGTAGAGAAGAGCGGCCAGCCGGTGGCATGGAGGTTAAGGAGGCTGGATCCCACATGTCCGGCTATGTCATGCGAGTCCCAGACCTGGCAGTTTGAAAAACATACCAGGCATTTGTGCATGCATGCCCAAGATCCCAAAAGGAGAGTGGAGGAAAAGGGACTGTGGGGCATGGTCATCTCCCTTGAGGGGTGCTTGCTCACTTTCTCTGTCTCTGGCAAGTGCTGCATCCTATAGCAAATTAAAAATAAATAATTAACAAGTGAAAAAAAAAGAGAGAGAAAGGCCAGGGCTTGAGAAAAGTACAAGGGCAGAGAGAGTGCGGTTTGTGAGGAGGATGGAGCAGTCCATACTTTCTGTGATACCACTGCCATAGCTGAGCCCCCGAGGAGGGCCGGTCTTGATCCCAGGGACAGACAGTACGCAGCCATCTGTACTCTCACTGCCCCTTCTCTGTTTCTGCTGTCGTGCAGCTGGAGGTAATCCAGGTATGGGAGGAGAAACTGAAGAGAGCCTGGTTACCTCCAAGACAGCAGTCCCTCAGGCGTGCTTCACGGGATAGATTTTATGTACTACATTCCCTTTTTCTCTTTGCACAAAATCCACATCCCTTTCAGGAGCTTGGTCTTATCACAGGAAAGTGAGAGGGAGATGTGTTTCCTGAACAAGCTGCTGCTGCTTGCTGTCCTGGGCTGGCTTTTCCAGGTGAGCACAGGCAGGGTCCGGGTTGGGGGCGGAGGATGGGATACTTCTGTGACTAGAGCGGGAGAGCAGGAGAATATCTGAGCCCGGATGAGGGAGAGAAGGACCAGAGGAGGGGTCAGAAGCTATCTGGGATTATAGTTTTGGAGGGAGGTTGCTTTGAACCTGCTGCTGGACTCTGGCACCATGTGGTTAGGAGGAGTGACGAGTCTTTGCTCATCTCTTGCCAGATTCCCACAGTGCCTGAGGACTTGTTCTTTCTGGAAGAGGGTCAGCTGGATGTCCTTGAGGTGGACACAGTAGCCTCAGAGCATGGCTTGGTGAGCATTGGGGTCCAGCCAGAGCCTTGGGAAACCCAGGAAGCGGGATATCTAGGAATGCCCAACAGGAGACAAACCAAGACTGAACCCAACCCTTGTATGATTCTCTTACTGACTCCCCAGTATCCGGGCATGGTGGGCAGAAAGGGGCGCCTGTCCACCACCTCTGACACTGCCTGTCCTCCCCCAGGACAGTGTGCCTGTCGTGGACCAGCAGCTGCTTTACACCTGCTGCCCCTACATCGGTGAGCACCTTGGTCTCCCCAATGGCTTGGGCCTTGGCTGATTCATAGAACCCTGTTGGCCTAACTCCCTAATAAGTCCTGTTATGCCCTGCCTGGGTACGTCAGCCTCTTTACTGCACAAATACGTAAAGTCCTGGATGCCTGGGGAAGGAGGGCATTCTGGAACTAAGAACTTGGATTTTGCTGACACAGGAGAGCTCCGGAAACTGCTTGCTTCATGGGTATCAGGCAGCAGTGGACGTAGTGGGGGCTTTGTGAGGAAAATCACTCCCACCACCACCACCGGCTTGGGAGCCCGGCCTCCCCAGACAAGCCAGGGGCTGCAGGTAAGGACTGGGTGGAGGCAGCCCAGTGGGGAAGCTGCAGGAAGCCTTCACTCCTCTGTTTCCTCCCCCACAGGAACAGCTCGCCCAGGCCTTTTTCCACAACCAGCCACCTTCCCTGCGCAGGACCGTGGAGTTTGTAGCAGAGAGAATTGGATCAAACTGTGTCAAACACATCAAGTAAGAGTGGGTTGACTGTCCAGTCT